TTTTTTTTTTTTTACCTTTGTAGAAGTTTAGATCTTAAGAGCTCTTGACAGGTTTCTTCATCTTTGGTAATTTCTGGCCCATTGTACAAGATCCTTAGCATGGAACAGGCCAGCACAGAGAGGCCCAGGGCCAGGTCAACCAGGAATGGCAAACCTCCTGACACATCCTCTGAGGATTCCTGCAGCAGGAACAGGGAGAAGTTCAAGCAATCCACCTGGAAGTTCTTTCCAATAGATTCAAGATAGGAGATTTTATATATAATCTTCTAAATGTAAGATATAGCTCGATATCAATCTTAACTCTTACGTATAAAACGCGTAACAATTAACAGCAACCTGTAAGAACAACTCAAGACAAGAAGTAAGGGATTTAAACATTATTTTCCTGAACCAAGAAGGAAAAGGTCAAGTTATTTTTGGTTCAGTCACCCCAACTTGTAGTGGGATTCAAGATTCCCTGTGTTTGATCCCAGAATCCCTCCCCTCTCTTCTTCATGGGCTGGAATCATTATTTCCTCAGGACTTCTCTGATTTTCAGATTGTTACAAAGAAATCCTGGAGTGGTTTCAGGAGATAGATAAGATAACATTTGATAACAACTATCTCCATGAATGCCTAAGTGCCAGCCCATCCACAGGGCTCTCTGCATCCCAAACTCAGCTTCCTTTCATTGCCAACACCCAATCTGTCTCACTGCCCAAACCAGTCACTGCTGGTTTCCATCTCAAACTGCCAAGCTGGCAGCACATTCCCATGGATCTGGAATGTGTTGTGGCAGGCAGGAGGCAGTGGAAGCTGAAGCTCTCCCTGGGATTCTCCCCCTGGAATACCTGTGCTCGGACCGTGCAGGCAAAGCCCCACATGGCTTTGTCAGGAGTGTTGTGCTCGCGCCCGCTCCGCATCTCAAAGGAGAACGTGACCGTGTCTCCTTCCACCTTCACACATCCATGGCAGAAAAAGGGGAAAAAAGAAAATATGTTTAATGATTGAGGCAAACAAACAGGTTTTTTACACAAGTGGTGATGACTTTTAATGACGGTTATCTGGGGTGTGTTTTTATCTCAAACGAAATATTCTGATTTAATTTTTTTTT